GAGGAGCTTGTAACACAAAGCAATCGTCTCTCACCCCTCCCCCACCACCCCAAATACCCTTCCATAGGGGCAACTACTTTTAATCATTTTTAATACTTTGGGAGCTAACTGTGTATCACCAAGTGGTATGCTTATGCCTATAACTTTTTTGTTGGTTTTGTTTGTTTGTTTTGAGGTTTTAATTCATTTTTCTATGCCTATAACTTGATTAATCAAAGTCATACATTATCTATTGACTCCATGCCAAGAAATATGAGAGTTTAGCTTACTTACATACTCCCCATCCATTCTCGATTTTTGATAGTTATATTTTTATTTTTATTTCTTTTGTTGATTGCCTTGATCACTTTAAGTAGGATGCTTAAATCTCTGTTATTTTATCAATTTTAGGCTATATCCCTTCACTCCTTACTGTTGGTGTGGGAAACTGAGATTCTATGTTGTGTTTCAAGATTATTATATTAGAACCATGTTTTTTTAATATGTAAAATATTTTTACAAGGAATGCTTTAGTTATTGTCCTAATTTTAAGGCGGTCTCCATAACCCGTTTATATTTGAGTTCATAGCGCAGTATCGGGAGAGCTATTACAAGTTGATTATTAGCAGGTGAATGAGCAAAATCCCATGCAAAATGTAGTTTCAACTTAAGTGTATAAACACAGTTTCTCCCCCCCACATACGCACATGCACCTATTAAAAAGCATTTTTTGTCTTAAGTGTTTGGAGATATGAAGTCGAACTGTTTCACGTTAATGGAAATTTCTTTGTTCTCCTTAGCAAACCCTTAGAAACTTAAGTTTATGGTAAAAAGATACGGAATCAGTAAAGAGTTTACTTAAAATTAATTGCAACTGGGCCGGCCTGGTGGCGCACTCGGTAGTGCGGCGCTCCCACCGAGGGTTCAGATCCCATATAGAGACCGGTCCGCTCACTGGTTCAGCGCGGTGCGGGCGCGACACCGAGGGTTGCGATCCCGTTGCCGGTCGCGGTACGGGCGCAACACTGAGGGTTGCGATCCCATTACCGGTCATGAAAAAAGACAAAAAGGAAAAAAAAATTAATTGCAACTGTTATATAAGTATTTGCTAGCCTTTTCTTCATCTACCTAACAAATTTAATGGCTCAAAAGGCATTGCCTGAATCACCTTTCAAGTTTTCTTATTGAATGAATTGAAGCCTGTAATATTCCAGCTGGGCCTGAGTGAAAGATCGTGGGACTTGGGTTTCTGTTTTGCACATTACCATGATGAAAATGTTAGTGCTTTTTTTCTTCCCTCTACTTTTCTTCCCTCTTTTCACTTCTCAATATCAGTTATGTATCGCCTTACTTTTAAGTTGTCAAAGTAGATAATATTGGTATTGTTTCGTAACTATAGTTATATCCTCTGTGCTTGGCCTATAGGTCGATTTTAGAAGTTAGAAAACAATAAACGTGTACACGACTAGGACTATGTAGCTGTTGTTCACTGAAGAGCAAAGTAGTGGGCCAGAATTCCATTTCCTTCACTGTGATTCTGATGTCCTTGTGCCATTTAGGGAAGAATGTTCCTAGTATTATGGTCAAATGGGTTACTTTTTCTTACCTTTATTTAGTTGTTTAAGCTCATGTCACATTTTAGTTTTCTTCATATTTAGACCTTGATTTTGTTGTTGACTTTTCCTTGAGTTTCAATACCTTTCTTTTTTCTTGGTTGCCAAATGTACAGTCAGCATATCCTTAGAATCATTCAGTTTGTTAATCATACTGTCCATTGTGTTGAGTCCATTTCCTATCCAGAGGCATCCCTCTGGGGCCTCCATCCTTCAGTTTCAATCCCTGCTGGTTGGTTTCTCTGCTGGACAACTGTTGTTGTGGGCTTTCACTTCATTCCTGAGTTATCACGACTGTGTTCTGAATCTTGCGTTTTCCTCCTTTGTGGTTACATCTTCATTTTGCTGGAGTATGTGCTGTAGTATCTTCCTCAGAAACAGTATGGGGAGGTAAATTTTTTGAGCTTTTGCCTACTTTACTTTTGCTTAATTAGTAACTGACTAAAATTCTAGTTTCAAAATATTTTTCCCCTCAGAGTTTTTAAATTAAAAATTTTTTTTTTTTTTTTTTTGTCTTTTGTCTTTTTCCGTGTCCGGCAACAGATCGCAACCCTCAGTGTTGCCCCCGTACCGGACCGGGGACCGGCAACGGGATCGCAACCCTCGGCGTTGCTCCCGCGCCTCGCTCAGCCAGTGAGCGGGAACCGGTCTGTATGTGGGATCCGAACCCTCGGGCGGGAGCGCCGCCGCACTTCCCAAGCGGCGCACTATCCAGTGCGCCACCAGGCCGGCCCTAAATTAAAAATTTTTAATTGCCTCTGTGCTCCATTGTTTTCTGACATTCATTCACTGTTGCTGATGAGAAGTCTGGTGCCATTCTAATTTTTGTTCCTTTGTAAGTGTTCAGTTTTTATCTTTGGAGGCATTCAGGATTTCTCCTGAAATTGTATAATGATACATTTATGTATGGATTTTATTATTATTATTATTTGTGCTAGATTTTTTGGTGTGATATTTTAATCTGAAAACTGTGTCTTCTTTAGTTTGGGGAAATTGATTTCCCTTATCTATCTGTTTATTTTCTTTTATTTTTTCTGTTCTCTCTTTCCAGATCCTCTCTTGGTTAGATGTTGTAACTCCAAGATTTCTCCTCTGTTTCACTTAAATTTTGTACCCATTTTATCTTTCTGTTTTAAATGCTGGGATATTTACTTAACTTTATCTTTCATATGTATTGCATTTTCAATTTTAGTGATCGTATTTTTATTTTCCCAAAGTTCTTTCTTGTTCTTGTATTTTTTTTTTCATAGCATCTCTTGTTTTACAGATAGAATATTCATCTTGGATGTATCTGGAGCAACTAATTAGTGTTTTCTCCTGTATCCTGATTTATGTTTTGTCCAGCCTGGTTGTTTCATTTCTACTTATGCATGTGTTTGTTTGTTTCTGGTCATCTGTTGACCCTTGGTCACTAGTGTGGACTGCCCCTGCTGCGGTGTGTTTAGGTCTGTTTCCCTGCTGAGGCCCTTCCCTCCCAGGAAGGCTGACTGCCACACACTTGTGAGTGAGGCTGATTCTTGAGCAGATCTTCATTTGGGGTGCAAATCTCCACACCAGCAGCCCTGGTTTTCCTCAAATAGTGTATTAAGATCCTCTAGAGAAGAATTCCAAGGCTTCCCTTTCTATACCTTTCACTCTGTATCATTTTCTCCATTTTCTATGTTCCTGACATTTGTGGAAACCTTTCATCTACTTAGGGTCCCCCCTCCCAAATACTCTTTGCTTATAGGCATTTATTTATTTTCCCCCTTTACTGCCCTTTTAATAGGATCTTGGGGGAGGGGGAGAGGAAAGAAAATGTGCCTTACAGGTCATTTTAAATAAAAAAAACTCTTTAAAAATTATTTATCCCACATTTCAAAACGATCACTGTAGAAAATTGAGAAAATATAAACAGTCAAATAAAAAAGATCTGTTCTTCCATCACCCAGAAATAGCGTTGTTAACATTTTAAAATATGTTCTAGTTCCTTTTCTACACATCTGTCTATCTTTTTTTTTACAACAATGGGATCAAACCATATGTTCTGTTTTCTAATATGCCTCTTAAAACTGAACAATAGCTTTTAAATATCTCTACATATCACAGCACATCCCTGACAATATTGGAGACCTGGTATTTATTGAAAGATATATTATCACTTATTTCATCAATCCTTTGTTTTTAGACATTAGGTTGTTTCTGTTTTCACTCCTATAAACAAGCATTTATAAACATTTTGGGCTAAATCTTTACTCATCTCCTTGACTATTTACTTTGGATAATATCCTAGTAATGGAGTTCCTGGGTCAAAGTATATTCAGGCCTCATTCTTGGTCCAACATTCAGGGTTCTCTTTGAAATAGCCCCACTTTAACTTTCTGTTCCAAAGCTTTCACTCCACTTGCACTCCCTGAAGCATTATAACGGAGGCATTAAGAACATAATTTTCAGAGCCAGACAGACCAGGGTTGAATCCTAGTGTGTGACCTTAAGTGGTTTTAATTATTAACCTCTTTGAACACTTTTCTATAAAATGGGGAAATAATTCTACTTTCCTGATGTGGTTGTTGTGAGGGTTAAACAAAATTTTAAAAACGCAGTTAGTATAGGCCCCATCAGGTTGAAAGTGTTCATAAATCTGTCACGATGGTGTTAGATCCATTCCTATCCCTCAGCCCATTCAAATCCCGCTTTCAAGGCACACTGGAGATGCACCCCTCCGGGAGGCTTTCTGGCCAGTTGTTCGAGTACTTGTGGGTGGACCCTGGTTCGATGATCAGAACACATTGTCTTGCTGCTCTCATAGATGTGTCTGTATGGCAAGACAGCACCCCCCTCCTCACCATCACACACTAATTCGTTTTCATTAGTGATCTTGGAAATGGAGGGGATGATGAGGAGCTTGTGACTCAGTGTTGGTAACATCAGGACTGTATTATGGAGTTTGTTTAGAGCCCTGTGGTAGCTCTGGAGCTTTGTGGGTGGCACCTGAACCCAAGGACACCGGAAAGCCCAGTGCACTCAATATGCAGCAGAGGCGAGGAAATCTGCTGCCGGAGGCTGCCTGGCGTTTTGCTGATGCCGAGCCTCAGGGTATCATTGTCCTAGCTGGGAAGGCAGAGCTCAGCATGCAGTAGCAGGATCTTGGTGTGGCTTGCAAGACGCCTCCCTCACTGGGCTTTTGTAGCTGGTAGGGCTTTCCTCCCAGTCATCACCCAACCCACAAAGGTTCCTTTCAGGGCCACGCAGATGCCTCCCAGTTGCCAGGGGAAATTGAGAATGGGCCTGTTTGTAGAGCTGCAGATGGGAAGGCTTGATGTGGGATAGCTTCCAGGAGAGGGCCCAGAGAGGGGAAGGGGAAGGCCTTGGGAAGGTGATTCGTGGAGCATGCTGCGTCACTCCGTCCCCCATCTGGGTGTCTTTCAGGAGTCATGGCCGGCTTCAACATGGGGGGCGACCTCCGGGAGCCTGCTGCCAGCATCCCCCTGGGCTCACTAGCAGCTGTTGGCATCTCGTAAGTTCCCCTCATGGCATTCAGTGCGGGACAGCGGGAGAGAAAACTGCAGGCAAAAGAGGGGATGGCCCTATTGTTCTGAGAGTGCCCCGACTGTGACCGATCTGCTTCATATTCCTGTCCTCCTTTAACACTCGGTGGGCTGGAAAATTCCGGGAGAGAAAACTGCAGGCAAAAGAGGGGATGGCCCTATTGTTCTGAGAGTGCCCTGACTGTGACCGATCTGCTTCATATTCCTGTCCTCCTTTAACACTCGGTGGGCTGGAAAATTCACGTCTGGTGGGTTCAGACATTGCCCTTTCATACCCTCTTCCTGGGAATGCTGCCGAGGAGGAGTGTCATTAGCAGACCACAGATCAAATCCTTTCTTTCCCACCCCTTCCTCTCCCCCACCCCCAACTTGGAACTTGGGGATTTTTTAACCACTGAGTTTCCAGGGTCATTGGAGGGAGCATAAAGATGGAGAGTTTTGCAATCAGACAGATTAGGGTTTGCCTCCCAGCTCTGCCACTGATTGGCTGTTTGACTTTGGACTCTCTGAGCCTCCATTTCCTTTTCTGTAAAATGAGGATGATGATAATGTGTGCGCCTCGTAGACGGTGGGGGAGACACTAAGTGTAAAGGCGCAGACACTGGCTGTCTTTCTTCTCCCAACTAGCCCCTCCTGTATCTCCCCCAAGGCTGTCCAGCTTCTTGGTTCTAGTTCACACTGTGCTGCTCACACTAGCAGGCTGGGTGGCCTTAGTCTGTTTCTGATCTTCTGGTATCTTCTGTTTTTCTCTCTGTACCGCTGGAAGAAGCTTCTCTGCTTCTTCAGTGTGCAGAGGCAGTGAGATCATAGACATGATGATGACTTGAGAAGTTAAAAGTGCTTGTATTATTTTAACCAGGGTATTTAAAAATATTAATATTGTTAATTAATTAAGTTTGCTCTTAGCTTATTGCAATGGCACCATTGCTACCAATCAGGCACCTGGCCCCAAGCTTTGTACAAAATAAGGCAATAGCACTGGGAAGAAAATGAAGACAACACAAAAAGAGTTGAGAATTGGGAAGGAAAGAGAATAGAGGGTTCTGTATGAGAAGCCTGTCTTGTTTCTAGTCCCAGCTGGGAGGTCCCTGGAGGAAACTTTGGCCCATCCTCTCACTGCCCAGATGGGAATGAGGACACAGCAGGGATCATGTGACTTGTTCAAGGTTACGGGGCATCTTGGGAACAGAGCCAGGCCACTGCTCTGCCTTTTTACACTTGGCTTCCCTCTCTATCATCTGTGATCCAAAGACCAGCAGGACTTCGAGGCCTGAAGGATCACCGACCTGTTCTTCTGCTGGGGGAAGGGGGGGAATGGGGCTGCAGGTCAGCCCTGGCCTGAATCCTGGCAATCAAGGCCACCCGGGCCCCCACTTTCCCACTGCTACCACCCTTTGTGCGTTTTTCTTCTTTAATATAATAGACAAAAAAAGATTACTTTTTTTATTTGTAAGGAATATGCTAGAGGAGAAATAGTATAAAAAGTGCCTTTGCAGGCCAGCTGGGGAGGCTTTATGACTGGCCTTTTTAATTTTGCAACAGGTTCCCATAGGAAACCAGAGGTTGAATGGGGCGGGGTCAGGATGGGGATGGGTGAGTCCGGGGCAGCTCTGCTGTGCTCTTGGGTTTTGCAGGTGGTTTCTGTACATCATCTTCACCTTCCTGCTTGGCGCCATCTGTACCCGAGAGGCCCTGCGCTATGACTTCCTGATAGCTGAAAAGGTGGGTGTGTCCTGCGCCACCCAAGGACTCTGTCCTTTGGGGTCACTTATGTGTTCCTATCAGCCAGCAGCTGCCTCCCCTTTGCAGTCCTGTCTGGGAATCCATCTTGTCTTGAGCCCAGGACTGAAGTATTATGGGGCCAGAAATAATGGAAAAGGCACAGGTTCTGCTTATGGAGCCCTAGAAACAGGCAACAATACCCAGAGAGGCAACAAATGCAGGTGATAGATAATTAGGACATTTCTTCATGTCGAAAATCAGGACAGAAACAGAAAGATCTAGTCACCCCAAATTCCCAGCTACACAAGCCCTTCATTTTTGCCTATAGCTTCATCTTCTACCATGAACAGAAAGTGCTGCTCACAAGAAGCAACTGAGGAGGAGGCTGGTGGTCAGAGGAGGGGGCGGGGAGGCAGAGGCAGACAATGGGAGCCAGAGCCAGGGCGAGGGCCTGGTGGGAGGCAGGGCAGGAGCCCGCCTTGTTCCTGAGGACCCTGACCCTTCTGGCTTTCCCCACAATCTCAGACTCTCCAGGTTGATTTGGCTGCAACATCTTTGTTTCTCCCTGCTGGGAGAAGATTAGCAAATTCCTCACGTTCCATAGCCTCCATTAGCAGGCTGGAGGTCATGCAACACCAAGGACATTTATTTGGCATCACTACAACCTGCAAGATTAAGATTGTCAGATACATTTGTGGAAATCCCCCAAAACTCCTACCTTTCCTAAATTCCTGGAGGAAAAGCGGATCCTGAGAATCCCATCATTTTTCAGAGAAATGTAGTTGGTTAGGGAGTTTTTCTTACTGTTAACTCCTGAGTATTGCCGCTTATATTTTAAGAGAGAGTACCATTTTCCTCTGTTGTGAGGCTTTGCAAAGCAGCCTTGCTGATCTTCATGGAGGGCCAGTGCTTGGGGCAGCCTAGTGCAGGAAACTGTGAAGTTACTTTTTTAGAGAAACATTTGGCTTAGTTTTCATATTAGAATGGGTTTCTTTTTAAGGTACCTAGACACCCATGCAAAAGTGGTATTTGTTTTCAGGGGTCTAGACCTTAGTGTGAAACAGGCTTTGAAAAGAGGAACAGTTCAGGTAGTGAGAGAACTGACATCCCCCTTCCAGGGCCCAAGGTCTCAGACCCCCAGGTATCAAAGTTTGCTGTCAGGGAAGGAATCTATATTCTTCATTTATAGGTGTGTGCACTCTTCTGGCTGGAGTTTCATCTCCCACAGGCCTTTTCTCTCGTGGAATGAAAAGCTCGGCTGCATTAGAGGACTCGAAGGCCTCGGGGGGGCAGCTGAAGTGCATTTGACCAGAGGAACTGCTTGTTGCTTGCCCACAGCTTGCCAGTGGCTGGCCAACTCAGCCTGTTGCTGAAGCTGGTTCCTTCTAGAGGATTCCCTCACAAGGGTCCTGTCAATCATTAGAGACTCTGATCTGATGAAGTGAGGCAAATTATCCCCTGGGCTGGGGCTCTTCTCTCCTCTCTGTTCCCTGCATTGCAGGGAAAGCTCAGAATGCGTATGTGGGAGGACAGGCAGCCTTGTATCCAAGGGAGGCCACAAACAGTGATAGGGTGAAAACATCTCCAGAGACAGCAGTTAGAGCCTGTGTGGGTGGAAATTCCACACCTAATAATAGACACGTGAATAGAGGGGAAGTTTCTTTGGAATGGCACCTGTTTCCCAGACAGGGAGACAGGTAGGCAAGCACTTAGCTAGGTGGGGGCACCTGCTAATCCAGGCCTGGCAATAATATGTGGGAATGTAATTATGTACACGCTAGGATGAGAGGTGGAGATTTCGTTTTTAGAGGAGAGGACGAGACTTTCCAAGAATGGGCAATTGTAAAGGCTGTAAAGGCTATAAAGGAAGAAAAGCTACTGTTCTTGGTTCTCAGAAGCAAGCAGGGGCTGGTGCAGCAAGCAGATGCACAGTGACGGAACCAGCCATGGCACGCAACTGGTGTTCTGCTGCCCCCACTAACACCTCCCAAGGGGACCACACAGCCTTTTCCCCCAAAGTGCTTCTGCTTTCCTGCTCTCCCAGGTCCCTCCTTGGGTCTGACTCCACTGCAGTAGCAGGTACTGTGCACAGGCAGTAAGCTGGGCCGCAGATGAGTTTGCTAATGGTCCCTGGAGAATGGGCAGGCCCAGACCATAGAGTTTGGGAGATATGAGTGCAGACTCTCTTTACTTGGTCACTTGACACAGCCTGCCACCCTGATGTGGTTTTAGTAAACCATGCAACTCAGCTTTACATCTTAGCTATGGTCTCTGTTGTTTGTCAGCCCACCTGAGAGCTTTCCTGGGCACTTCTGTCTGTCCTGCCATCAGACATGCTCCCTTGACACTTGCTTCTCTCTCTCTATCTGTGTGTGTGTGTGTGTCTCTCTCTCTCTCTCTCGCACTTCCTGCCAGAACAGTGATCTTCAATGGCTGCAGGCTGCCCTAAATTCCTTTGGGTTTTTCTGTTAATCTGTTTCTTTTTGGGTTTCCCATAGCTTCTCTGATCTATTTCTAATCATTTGGTTTTCCCACCCACAGTTTCTCGAAGTTTCTTTTTACTTTTTATCCCCATCCTAGAGGAATTTTTTGCCAGCTCTTGGGAGTCAGTCTCAGTAATGTTATGGTTTCTTAAAAATCTTTAGTACACTGTGGTGGATCTGACATAACCTATGAAAGTGTAATACCTGGCACATAGTAGGTGCTTATTAAATTTTAACTCCCTCCACATTTCCTATGGGGATACCCTTAAAGATAGAAACATTTATTTGGGGGACACATTTTCCCCCAATGAATTCATCATGTTTAATTGGATAGGAAAAGTCAAAATAGTCAATCCCAATATGTCTGGCTACTGCTAAGCTACAGCTAAGGCCTGGAATCCTCACAACGCCAATTGTCTAGCTCTTAATCCTGTTCGTGATGCCAATTATAAAGCTAGGTGACCACGCCAGTTGTTGCAGTTCTTTTACCTGCCAGTAATCCTGCACCGACTGGGCCGATGGTTGAGCTAGGGCAGGGTCTGGAGCTCCCAGACCCCTCAAGCCTGTTCACAGACTGGGTCACAAACCCTTCACACGCCAGGCTGGGTCACCAGACCCCTTCACACAGGTCTGTAAGCTAGGTAACCAGCCACGCGGTCCTTGGAAGCTGCAGGTCTAGAAAAACATGGCCGTGCCCGGCAGGCGCCCGAGGCAGTAAACACCAGCCAAAGTGGCCCCGTGTGGGTGCACTCACTCCACCCACACACACACAATGTTTAGGGCACCGCCCCTATCCGGCCCTGAGGCAAGGGGAGCCTGACCAAATTGTTCCATTTTCCCAACACAATATTATTCAGTTATAGAGAAAGGAATTGTGTAAAGAACAGTATTAGTAGGGATGAAATTAAATAGATTAAATAAATGTTTCAAAATAAACTTGTATACCACCCAGGAAACAGATATTTATTATAGATCAAAAAGACCAAGTACCTTAGGAGCCCTGGAGCTTGCTAATTAGCAAAATAAGAGCAAACTAAGTTGGAAAAATACCCCAAAAGTATCTTTGTTGAAGATGGGGAATTCCACAGAGTAAAGTCTAATCATTCCTGATTTAATAGTCATGGTTTCATGTACTCAAGAGGGACTTTGAAAGCCCATGACACAAGCTGTGCCTGGGGAGATCGGCAAAGGGCAGCACTCGTGGCTGGTGAGTGAGCCTAGTCAGCCACTCAGCACCCGCAGCCAGCCCAGCCTGACTGTCCCAGAGGACACATCCCATTATGTCCCCATCGTGGACACAATGCTTCCTCTCAGGAAGTGAAGCACACTTTGTCTCTTAATGGAGAATGGCTGTCAATTGAGAGGTAAAACCTGACTGGAAGTTGAGATGTTCAATTTGTGGAGTGAGGCGAGTATTAGAAAACTCATGTATCTGTGGAAATATGATGTGGGAGAAAACCTAGGGGCTATGGAGCCATTGCCTGTTAATAAATTTGGGATTGTTAGGGTTTCAGGATGTATTCCTCAGTTAACACCAAGGGGCCACAGGAATCAGATGAAGCAGAATGAGCCCCCTGCACGTGACTTTATATTCAGTCCTTCAAGAGAAGAGAGCAGTCAGTGAGCTAGTGAAGTCCCTCAGTGACTGAAGCTCAAAATGGGAGCTGGGATAAAATACAAAGAGCAGAGAGGTGGAATTAATCATCAGTAGTTACTGAAAAAAGAAATTAGTGTAGTTCATGCCCCATATAATATTTTGAAAAGATAGCTTTTTATGATGGCTCAAACAGGTGTATTTTTTTAAAAAAACAACTGTTGACACACATCTGCTCAAATAAATTCTCACTTCCACCTCCACTGGTACATTTAGCAAATTTACAGTCCAATATGAATAGAGAAAATATTTAAGTTCTACAAGAGCTGGGGGCAAAGCTGCATGGTTTACTGTTATATCTATAAAGCCTTGTCCTGTTCCTAGCACCATGCCAGGAATATAACCTGTCCTCAATAAATGCCTCCTAAATGGGTGAATGGATGACAAATAGAAAGGAAGAGGTAGGGTCCAGGCAGGAGAGAGATGGAATGGAGTTTTTATAATTTATGTACACATGAGGATCAACATTCCATTTATTTTTCAGAAAATAGATTGAATAATACTTTTGTATTAAAAAAGTGGTAAGTGAACAGGTCATTCTAAACACAACTGACACAAACAAGTCACTATACTTGGACAACCCCCCATCTGACCCCAGCCCTGGGGGTTCTGGAGGAATCCCAGGGTGTGTCTGCAGGAAGACTGGCCGAAGATGGAAGTCACCACATCGTGTTCTCATGGTGCCAGAGACTCGTTAGGTTCCTGGGTCCAGTCCAACACCAGAAGGACGTCAGACTGGGAGCCTCATTCCCACTGAGTAATGGACAGGCTTTCAATGAAAAAAAAAAGAAAAAAAATTAACACAAATATATATAACCTTTTGGGTAAGAAGCAATAAAATTTGTGCAAGGAGATGCCATGCCTCTCTCACCTAAGGAATTCCTTGGGGGAGAATGCAGTGGGTGCAATGTCCTCTGCCCAGCGGTTCTCCACACTGGCTGCACATTAGAGTCACCTGGAGGGCTTCTTAAAGATTGATGAGGTCTGTGTTCCATTCAATACTAATTAAATCAGAGTCTCTGGGGTGATTGTTATGTATAGTCAGAGAGGAGAACTACTGAGTTAAATTTCCAAAAAGCTCTTGATAAAATTTCAACGTTGTATATTTATTTTAAATAAGTCAACATGGGATGCATTTGATAGAGAAGACAGAACAAAGGTTATAGATGAATAATTGCATCTCAGAATGAAACAGATCTGCCCTTGAGGAGCTCTTGGTGGACTGGCAAGGTAAGCCACGGGCATCATGAACTGTTTCACAGGGTGGAAGTAACACAATGTCATCAGAGTACACACAGTGATGGGAAACATTAGATGACATTGATTTCTTGTAATAAAATGATAAGTGAAGGGTGGGTGGAAACCCATGACATTGAAGAAAAGTGACAGGTGAGATTCACTGGGGATAAGAATGAGATAATGCATTTAGGGAAAAGTAATCCACCCTGCAATAAAGACGAGAGGGGCTTTGTAGTGGACCACAGTCTTGTAAATCAAGCCTCTCACTTCTCTGGCCATTTGGGGGTTATTCCACCTTATGTGTGGTCTTGAAGGGAGTGAGTGCCCCCATTTAGTATACAGAAGCCTCAAGGACCAGACCTCTCGTCTGTCCCTCTGCAGCTCTGGTAGGGCACATGGTCTAGTCTGGCCATAGGATGCTCCACTTGTAGTGAATGAGGCAGAGATAAGGAGACGGTGAGAATTCATCCGCAGGGCAATGGGGTGTTTGTTGCATCCCGGTCAGACTGTTTGTGCTGAGGAATCTGGGAGTGCCTCCAGGCTTGGGTCTTGCCCTTTTCCAAGCCTGATCTTTTAGCCTCCTGATGGTTCTGTGAACCTGCCATGTCCTACAAATCTATTCTTTGGAAAAAAAGGTTTTTTCCAGTCAAGAATCCTGACTGATGTAGAGTTCATCAGTCAGTCAAATTATTGCAGTGATAATTTATGAGCCAGGAAAGCGGTCTAGCCGGGGACTTTGTGTTCAGTGTAGCTTGACGACACGGATCTGGCACATTACTGAAGCAAGGAAGTAAAAAATGGACAAGGAGAGCCTTTGTCAGGAACAGCGTAAGTGATAAAGCTGAAAATTAAATCTAATCCATCTGCAATAGTTGACAAATGAGGACTTGGAATACACAGTTCTGGCCACTGTACCTAAAGTAGAATGGAGAGGACACCTCAAATAATCAAGAAAACAGAGAAGCTTCCCTGTGGGCTCGGGAGGGTGAGAAGGATTCATGACTAACAGCCTGGGACACAGGTGCATGGCGAGCAGCACTGATCTTTTGCAAGATGGCACAAGGAGAACAGCTATTCCCTTTCTTATTCTATTAGTTGGTGCCTGTGGGACATATGGGTCATGGATCTCATTCACCCGTTTAGCATTTGTACTTGTGTTGGGCACTGAGAAATGCTGGTGTGAACAAGTCAGGAGACCTGCTTCAATGAAGCCTCCAGATTAGTAGGAGACAGTGTGATAGGTGCTATCTTAACATTGAGTTGAGGTGCCACAGAGCACTGAGAAGCCACCACTATTGTCAGGGGGATTGGGGATGGCCTCACGGAGGAGGTGAGGTTTGTGCTGAGTCTTGAAGCACATTAGGAGTTCAACAGACATACAATGAGTAGATTAGGGAGTGTGGACAGAGGGTTCCAGCAGGCAGGGAAATCGTGCTGACCAAAGGCTCTCGGTGTGCAGGGTGTGGGGCTAAAGAGGTCACAGAACATGAAGGGCTTTGTATGAGGGGTATTCAAAAAGTTCATGGAAAGATTCATATGGTCTTTTAATTCTGTTCTTCCACAAACTTTCTGAAGTGCTCTTATATGTCAAGGCAGTGGGAAGTCATTACTATGCTTGCCGCAGAGGCGTTAGGATCACATCTGAGGGCCGGCCCGGTGGCGCACTGCTACAGTGCGCCGCTTGGGAAGTGCGGCGGTGCTCCCGCTGAGGGTTCGGATCCCACATGCGGACCAGCCGCTCACTGGCTGAGCGAGGTGTGGGAGCAACACCGAGGGTTGCGATCCTGTTGCTGGTCCCGGTCCAGTGCAGGCACGACACTGAGGGTTGCGATCCGTTGCTGGTCATGAAAAGAGACAAAAAGGAAAAAAAAAAAAAAAGGATCACATCTGAGTTTAGAGAGGTCACTATGGCAGAGGTTTAGGGGCTGATTCAGAGTGGGGAGAGCTTAGAGGCAGGAAAACAGCATTGTAATGACCAGTGGTTCTCAAAGTGTGGTCCCCAGATCATCAGCATCAACATCACCCGGGAACCTGTTAGAAATCCAAATTCTCAGACCCAACCTCAGACCTACTGACTCAGAAACTCTGAAGGTGGCACCCAGAAATCTGTGTTTTAACAAGCCCCACAGATGAGTCTGACACATACTGAATTTGAGAACCATATAAAGATGTGATGGTGGACTAAACTGAAGTAGTGGAATGAAGTGGGATGGGACTGGCATACGGGAAATATATCCCAGAGGTTGAATCTAGAGGACTTAATGTGTGGTTAGATGGGTTGTGGATGTGTGGGTGTCAGGGAGAGTAGAAAGGGACAGAAGCAGGACCTGGCATTGGATAATGAAACTGCCTTCTCACACAGGTGTCCCTAGTGGGCTTCCTATTCCTTTTGGGCTTATACATCTCATCCCTGGCCTCCTGCATGGGAGGACTCTATTCAGCCCCCCGGATCCTGCAGTGCATTGCCCAGGAGAAAGTGATTCCTGCACTTGCCTGTCTGGGACAAGGGGTGAGTGATCCTCTTTTAAAGAAATGTACGTTTTACTGCTAACCCGATTGTTGGCCCATAAATTGCTGAAGTTTTTCTGATTAGAGCCTCTGATCAATTTCTCTGGGGTAGGACAAATGAGAACACAGAGGTCATTTCTTTGGGCCTTGTCATCTGGCTGGCTTAGGCTGGGGCCAGTCAGGTGAAGCATCTTACGTGTCACAGCCTCCCGGCTCCTTAGTGCTGGGCTACCTAAACAGTCACAGCAGCATCTTGGACCCTAAGCAGCAGGGAAATGGAGTGCCCATCCTTTAATAAAAATGATTCAGGATCCTCCAAGTTTACCATTGAAGAAAGAGGTAAGGAGGGGAGCTGGTCCTTGCAGTTCCTACTCTGCCCTCGAGGCTCACCTTCCCCCTGGGGGTCACTGTTCAGTGGTTTCTCGCTCTTCTGGCCTCTGGGCTCCATGTTAACCATGGTGGAGCAAAGCTTAACTGAGGCAGTGTAGCTTGTGCGTCATGGCTGAAATGATCAAAAGACACATTCCTAAAACCAAGACGACAAAGGAGAAATAAACAGAGTCTACTTCCCATGAGCCCACAGGCTCATGTTTCTTGAGTTAAAAACTAGAGCCCAGTGTGTGGTTTGCAAGCTATAGCTCATTTTTGTCTTGTTGGGGTAGCACAGGGGACCTCCCCAACCCCGTTCCAATCCCCAGCCTCCCTGTTGTTTAGGGCATGTGTAGTCGC